CACCTCGTGTCCAGACACCAGACACACGTGTCCAGACACCTCGTGACCAGACACCTCGTGTCCAGGACACCACGTGTCCAGACACCTCGTGACCAGACACCTCGTGACAGACACCCTCGTGACCAGACACCAGACACCACGTGTCCAGACACCTCGTGACCAGACACCTCGTGACCAGACACCTCGTGACCAGACACCTCGTGTCCAGACCACCACGTGTCCAGACACCTCGTGGTCCAGACACCTCGTGACCAGACACCTCGTGACCAGACACCTCGTGACCAGACACCTCGTGTCCAGACACCTCGTGACCAGACACCTCGTGTCCAGACACCACGTGTCCAGACACCAGACACCACGTGTCCAGGACACCTCGTGACCAGACACCTCGTGTCCAGGACACCACGTGTCCAGACACCTCGTGACCAGACACCTCGTGACCAGACACCTCGTGACCAGACACCAGACACCACGTGTCCAGACACCTCGTGACCAGAACACCAGACACCACGTGTCCAGACACCTCGTGACCAGACACCTCGTGTCCAGACACCACGTGTCCAGACACCTCGTGACCAGACACCTCGTGTCCAGAACCTCGTGTCCAGACACCAGACACCACGTGTCCAGACACCTCGTGTCCAGACACCAGACCCCACGTGTCCAGAACACCTCGTGACCAGACACCTCGTGTCCAGAACACCACGTGTCAGCCACCTCGTGACCAGACACCTCGTGTCCAGACACCTCGTGTCCAGACACCTCGTGTCCAGACACCAGACACCTCGTGACCAGACACCTCTTGTCCAGACACCTCGTGACCAGACACCTCGTGACCAGACACCTCGTGACCAGACACCTCGTGTCCAGACACCAGACACCTCGTGACCATGACATCCTCGTGTCCAGACACCACGTGTCCAGACACCACGTGACCAGACACCTCGTGACCCAGACACCTCGTGACCAGACAACCTCGTGTCCAGACACCAGACACCACGTGACCAGACACCTCGTGTCCAGACACCTCGTGTCCAGACACCAGACACCTCGTGACCAGACACCTCGTGACCAGACACCACGTGACCAGACACCACGTGTCCAGACACCTCGTGACCAGACACCTCGTGTCCAGACACCAGACACCTCGTGACCAGACACCTCGTGTCCAGACACCTCGTGACCAGACACCTCGTGACCAGACACCTCGTGACCAGACACCTCGTGACCAGACACCTCGTGACCAGACACCACGTGACCAGACACCTCGTGACCAGACACCTCGTGTCCAGACACCTCGTGACCAGACACCAGACACCTCGTGACCAGACACCACGTGACCAGGCACCTCGTGACCAGGCACCACGTGACCCAGGCACCACGTGACCAGACACCGCAACCCAAAGCCACCGAGTGCTGCCCAAGCAGCTTCTGTTGGCCGCATACAAGCGGTTTGCTACAAGGGCTGGGGGGGGGGGAGATGGAGCTGATGGGGTACGGTAGGATGTGGAGCTGAGTGGACTTGCCAATGACCAGTACCAGGGGTGTCAAAATCGACCTCTGGTGGAGGAGGAGGCTCGTGAAGGATGCTGCTGCTGCTGCTGCTGGGCAGTTGGAGGAAGTCGCCCTCCAGCAACAACGGAGGGCAGAGGAGCAACGCTCACAACAACGAGCGGAGGGACGGGCGGATAAAATGCTGCGAGTTGGCACAGTAGGGGGCACAGGTGGTGGTGCATCGACCGGTCATCTCAGTCAGCCAAGCCATGGAACCTGCTGGGTCTGTCCCGAGACCTCCTCGTGTCAGCGAGCCTTCTACACTTCACGTGATAGCCTCAAAGTGCACCTAGCCTGGCATGGGCGGGTATTGGTGTGTGTGTGGGTGGTGTTTGCCACTCACCCCCTCGTGTTCCCTACCGGCCCTTCATAGGTGCTAACAGCACTTGCCCCGACAGTCTGTTAACGCTACACGGGGGATCTTTTCCTTTGTCAAGTGTCATAGGCGGCTGCTTCCCGAACAGCAAAAGGCTGCTTCGCTCATAGCACACGTTAAAGACTCCCCCCCCCCCTGACGTCATCAGCAAGAGCTGAGCCACTTCGTGCCGCATCATGGCCCGCAATTTATTTTTGCCAGATTCAAAATGTATCAGTTGCGATCTCTCCCTCACACACACACACGATCACTACCCCTACTGGCAGCAGACTGATGCACGGAGACAGCTGCCCCTGGGGGTGCCCCTTAGGTTAGATCACACAGCAGCAGTCATCGCTACTCCTACTTGCAACCAGGGGCGGAGCCACAGGGGGGGGGGGGGGCTGGGAGGGGTGCTTAGCCCCCCCTAAAATTTTGGGAAAGTCGGTAATTGGGATAACCGAGTATCCGGCGGCTGCAAAATGCTGGCTGCCACCTTGTCCTGCCCTGCAAAAGGTGCACCTTTTGGCGTCATCTGGTCCAACACCATGTGAGACTAGGCTCTAAGGAAGCTGTCTCGGGTGTGGACCAATCTACTTCAAGGACAGTGCACATTATCAGAGTTATGTTTTTTGTTTTGCATTATGACTGCAGGTATTGTGGTCCATGCGAACATGACTCCTTGTAGAAATGGTGTCAGTTTTGTTGCCAGATAAAAAGGGTAAAACAACAATTATCATATTTTTCTACTGGCAAATAAGGTTCCAATGGTGTAAATGCTTACCCCGAGCTCTCATACTCTGATGGTGCATTGTCTTTGAGTTGTGCGCCTTTTGGCGTCATCTGGTCCAACACCATGTGAGACTAGGCTCTAAGGAAAGCTGTCTCGGGTGTGGATCAATCAACTTCAAGGACAGTGCATACATTATCAGAGTTATGTTTTTTGTTTGCATTATGACTGCAGGTATTGTGGTCTATGCGAACATGACTCCTTGTAGAAATGGTGTCAGTTTTGTTGCCAGATAAAAGGGTAAACAACAATTATCATATTTTTCTACTGGCAAATAAGGTTCCAATGGTGTAAATGCTTACCCCGAGCTCTCATACTCTGATGGTGCATTGTCTTTGAGTTGTGCGCCTTTTGGCGTCATCTGGTCCAACACCATGTGAGACTAGCTCTAAGGAAAGCTGTCTCGGGTGTGGGATCAATCAACTTCAAGGACAGTGCATACATTATCAGAGTTATGTTTTTTGTTTGCATTATGACTGCAGGTATTGTGGTCTATGCGAACATGACTCCTTGTAAAAAGGTGTCAGTTTTGTTGCCAGATGGAAGGGTAAAAAAACAATAATCATATTTCCTCACTTGTATAAGCTCATCCGACTGATCCCGACTCTCCCGATCTCTACGGCCACCACCGAGTGCGCATTCTCCGCCGTGAAAATGTTGAAGTCGCGGCTGCGTACCGGCACGGGCGACGACTGGATGTCCGACTTGATACTGATATACATCGAGAAGGCCTGCGACTACTTGGGAACGCCGGCGACGTCAACTCCCTGCGAATAGCGGAGCCGGGCAGTGGTTCACGTGCGTTCGCCAGTCGCTGTCAACGACGCTCTTCATCAAGTCCATTCGCTCGTGGATCTAACCGGGCCGGAGCGGCGCAGGATCGTATTGCCTGTCGTTCGTCCGAGGACGATGGCAATGACGAACTTGATCAGGTTTGACTGCTGCAGCTCTTCACTATTAAAATTCCGTCCCTTTTATTACCGCTAACCCTACCTCCTCCCTTTGTTGCTGCTAATACTGCATAATGCACGGGCATAATATGACTTTTAAACCCCCCCCACCTCCTACACATTCCACAAGTTGTGACTAATCCCATTTCTGCATTTTCCATAAATATGCTAAATTCCTCTGTTGATATGCAAATTCCGTTTGTCAAGGCGCCCTTCCTCCCCTAAACCAAGCTTAAATATACGCTGCCAAGCTTGGTGGTGTTCATTCAGACGCTGTCTTTCCGACAGACCTGTACTTCACCCGAGGCTGCTTGCGTTGTGGCCGAAACGCCGTGAGAATTGTATTTTATTATGTTTTATTTTTATTATTTTATTCTTTCCCTTCTACGTGACTTTACCGACAGAACCAAGAAGATGAACTCTCCGATATTGTCCAGCAGTTCATGAGCATGTCAGCTCGCCGTGTTCAAATCCACAAAAATTTGTTTTCTGCATTTGTGGCGGCCATTTTAAACATACACTGGATGTCTCAGAATATTGAAGTCATTCTAGATTTGAAGCTTTCGTGACTGCAAGGATTCATACTCTTAGGTTTTTTCGGTAAAGTCACGTAGGTGAAAATAAATAATATAAATAAAAGAAATAATAATAGAAATAAAATAATAAATCACGACGTTTCGGGGGCAACACAAGTCTCCATCATCAGGTGGAACCGTCACAGCTAATTTTTTTTGAGTTTTGCCTCACTTGATACAGTAAATTCTAGCTGTGACGGTCCCACCTGATGACGGAGACTTGTGTTGCCTCCGAAACGTCGTGATTTATTATTTTATTTCTATTATTTT